GATTCGCCAGGCTCTGCGCCACGCTGCGCTCGGAGAGGTCGTCGCAGTCGCGCTCCAGGCTCTCCAGGGATCCTGGTGACCCCTGGGACAGCTGTGATTCCATGATTTTTTTGAGAAATCACAGCTGTTAACTGGATGTTAACTGGTAAAAATAGCTTGCGGTATATTTATTTGTGATATCATATATATATATGAGAGAAATATTATAAACAAGCGATGAAACTAAGCTGAATTGGATTGATATGGAGTGATTCATTGATGATTAATCATATGATTAATCATAAATATAAGCAATGATCATCAATGATGTTAGCTGCATTAGATTAATGACATTCATCATTGGTCCAAAGTCATGGATGCCAATGTGTTGAAAAAAAAGATCCGTCCTGCGGAACGAGCAAACAATTCTCTCAAGATCTGGGTGAGAACGCAAGCCACATAGCCCTGAAACTCCAGGAGAGAAAGTCCTGGTGATGTCAATTTTGACAAAAACTCCATCAAGTCAATTCTTGAAGTCATGTGAATTCACACTTCTGATTATAACATCTTGTAGATTATTGTAGATTATTGTAGTACAATACAGTATTTCACTCATGTAGACTATGACTCTCACAATATATCACAATATATGTAGCCTATACATCTTATAACATCACAATGATTGTCATCCTCATCACATTCATCACATTCATCACATTCATCACATTCATCACATTCATCACATCTAAATCTGCCGTCAAATCGCCTTTCCGATGTGCAAAGGTGCTATAGACTTGGCCGATTCGTTCCAGGCTGCTGGGATGGCGACATCCCAAGCCGTCGATCAAGCTCTGCGTCACCGGCTGCAGCTCCTCCTGCGGCAGGACGTCGACGGCGCCCACGTCGTCCCAGAGCTCCCGGCAGTGCGCGGAGAGCGCCGCGGCATCCGTGAGCAGATTCGACACGTACCTGGGATCCATTGGGATCCATTGGAATCCCATGGGCTTGGGATGAGATAAACAAGGACATAGAAAAGGAATAGGAATAAAGGTTTAGGGATACTATAAAGATGTATAAAGATGTATAAAGGTTTATGGAGTTGTAAGTTTCAAGAGATAAATTCTGTGACATCTTAAGTTTGGTGCTGCAATTCTCTGAAAGCAAGGGCTCTCAGGAAGTTGGTTGCAGCTGACACCCAGACTTCTGGACGAAAAGATTGGGGGTGAAACAATGGTTGAGCAGCAATGGTTAACCATCCCGGTAGTTATAAAGGTAGCCAGTGCTTCGTTCACGTTACATTGCCGAACAATTTGCTGGTGAGATCATCCTGTCTTGAACAAATTTTCTGGGGGAAATCGCCGCACATTGAAAACTTTGCGATTGTTGAGAAAATGAATATATTTACCATTGGAAAGTGTAAATTCCAATAAGTACCATTGGAAAATGATAATAAACTTATGAATATATCTACCATTGGAAATGGCCATCATTAAAGAATGTAAATTCCACATATTTTCAGACGGGCAACGCATGCAACTTGCCATAGTCCACTGCACCCACTGGACCCACTGGACCGCTGACTCTGTCTTCGGTGATGCTGCTGCTGTTGCCCATGGCGAATGGCGATGGGTCACATGGTCCAAGGGTCGCATGACCCGGTTCAGGACTTCATGATATTCATGATTCTTGAGGGATGAGATAAACATTCGACTTACGGAAGGCCATTTTAGAAAAGAAGGAAAAGTGTACAGGCATTCTGTCTGCTGAACTTGACCATGTTGCCGACCAAGAGGGAGTGCAATGTCACCCCCTATGTCTTGGTTTAGAGTGGTATGAGCAAGCAGCTGGCAATTTAACGGCGTCTATTTCTTGCAACATGGTGCTAGAATCAACAAACCACAACCAAAAAACACCAAAAATCATCTGTGGTTGATTGGTCACATATCATCCAAATCATGGGCAAATCAACCAGTTTAATCTCAACCCCATCATCTAAATCACAACGGCGACAAACTATCTATGGTTGGGCTGCCAGTGAATAATGTCTTGTTTCTGCACATCTTGGGGCGATGAAAAGTTGGCTGACGGCGGATCAAATTGACGTATCATGGCCATCTGAAAGGTGGCTATCGTTGCAATCGGGTTCCAGTTGACTTTTTGATTCCCACAATCTGACAATCTGACCCAATCTGAAAACAATCTGACCCAAGGCATCTCACGTAACTGGAGATCACTTCCAGTTCAAAATATCCCAACCGCCAATGCACCGCCCCTGCACCATGAGTAGAGCTCTTTTTGTTGCCAGGGAGTTTCTGATCGAGTGCGCAAACCAAGTAGCTCCAGATGGTGGCCGCCTTCTTCCGTGCCAGTGCTGAACCACACACACTTCCTCACAAATGTATCACAGGTTTGACTTGTTTGGGCCACTGACAAGTTCTATTTTCTATAATGTTGATATAAATATTATTAGATATTATGTATTGAATATATCCACTAAATTCCACTAAGTGTTACTTCTGGCTTATTTCTGGTTTTTCCAAGTTCTTCAAAAAAGGCGAGTTGCGTTGCCACTTTCGTCTCTTTTCGCGCTCACTCTTCCGACTTCAAGCTGGGGAAGCGGTCGAGGATTGCCAAACGAGTCCTCAAAGGCCGAAAAACAACTGCTTGGAGGTTTCCAATTTGGGGGTAATGATGGGGTAAAACCCCCAGTTCTCATCCGATTTTGGGATGTTCCATGAAAATCATGAAACCATGCAGCTATTGAATAGCTATTAGCAGCTATTGGGGTACCCCCAATTTAGGAAAGTCCTCTTGTGTCCGTCATGAGTCCTATTGCTCGTGGGAGCCATGAATGGGATTCAAAAATCCAGAGGAAAATGCATCAAACATGAAACATCATGAAACAATGTCAACATGTCAATACTGTTTGATTACACGTTTAAGGATTGATGGGATGAACCACGATAACTCCATCATGTGGTCTTGACCTAGCCATGACAGCTACGACAAGCAGAAAATTTCTTTTTGGGATGAATCAGCTTAGCATACAATTTACGATCATTTACTTTTTAGTTTCAAACAAGATGTTGTTTTTCAACATGTTTCATCATTGACCCAGCTTTACCCAGATTCACCCAAGACTCGAAAAAAACTGTTTGGGCAAGAGAATTCTGTTCCGAATCTCCAGTGGCCCATGATTTCCCAACTTTTCCCGTCGCCAAATGGCGTGATGAACGCGGGTTTCACCGCCAGGACGTAGACACAGTAGCCGAAGCAGTAGCCGTGGATCATGGACAGGGCGTAGCGCATGAAGGTGCCACCGAAGCCACCTAACTTTAGAAGCGCCGCCCACCGGGGGATGGCAACGGGGGGAGATGTTATGTTAAGGATGGAAAAACTGTGAGTTGTTTCTATAGTTGTTTGGGTAGTTCATTGGTAATTCATGGGTAATTCATGGGTATGTCGTTCGTTTGTTTCTCTCTTTGTTTTGAAAGATAGTACTTTCGGTGTGTGTGTTTTTTTTTGTGTGTGTGTGTTGTGAAAAGCACAGTCCGCCAACATTTCATGATCAAATATGATCAAATACGAAATGAAAAAACATGAGCAGTCCGAATCGCAACGCATTCGCAACGCTTTCGCAACATTTTTTGATGAGATGATTGGGCCATTGATTGGGCCATTGCCGTTGATGGCCTCCTCCTGCGAAGCCAACCTTGGAAGCCCCCACCATCAATCCAGCCATGGCCTCAGTCCCGAAAAAGTTCAATGGAAACCATATTCGATTCCGGGTTAGATCATGTTAGATCCAGGTGAATGGAAACCGATTGGAAACGGATTCAAACAGCAAAGTCTTTGGAGTGACTTTCTTCAGCTCAACTATGCTCCAACTTAACTCTTCAGAGTTTCCGAGTTTCCGACGAATACTCCAGTGTCGACAGGGTCGAGAGGATGTCAGATGCTTTGCGCGCTTCTCAGCTTCAGCTTGAGCCAAGGGCGATGTCAAGCTGAGAATGCTGAACCAGTTGCCTCAAAATCGGAGAAAACCAGAAGTACATTAAATATTCATTGATTCTCGGCTTATGATGGCTTAAGAAATTGAATATTCACGCACCATTCACGCTGTGCCACAAAAATATCTTGCTGGTGCCACAAAAATCGCCAGCTGTGTTCCAAGTGGTCCCAAGAAAATCCAAAGTCCCACAACGACCCAGTTCTCCAGTGCAGCCAACATCGCAGACCTTTTGTCTCGGAGGGCGTCTGTCGTCATTTGGACAGTGCCTTAGTTGATGCATGGCGTCATGCCATATGGACAGTGCCACGAAGTTGAGCAAAACCAGAAACCAGCATCATGTGGTTTTTTCCATGGTCAAGCATGGTTTACCAGGCGTAAAATGCCACGAAAATGCCATTTTGACCATGAAACATTCACCATCCATCAACCATGACTGGGGAGCATTTTAAGCATCATCCCGTACAGGGGTCGACAGTCAATCATCAACCGATTGGGCACGACCATTTTCTTGGGCTTTACCATGCTTTACCATGCTTTACCTCCTCATTGACTCATTACATCTCATTTTTCCAGCTCCAAAATCCCCAGTCCAGGACGCATTGGAAAGATATTGAAAGATGATGATGCTTTTTTTTATCCGATTGCCCAGCAAAACATGATAAAACATGTCTCATCATGTCATCATGTCTCCCAAAACTGAGGCCCCTCGGACCCGCAAAGCACTGGCAAATGCCAAACGATGATTTTCGTCTTGCACTTGCACGTCCTCACAGTAAAAAAAACGAATCTCCAGGTATCTCCAGGTATCTCCAGGTCTTGGTGGTCTTGGTCTGAGCAACTCACACCAGGACGTAGAAACCCTACACGCCGTACACCAATGAGCAACTCAACGATTCTTATGATTCTTTATTTACAGCTAAAACTCATTCATATTCATTCATGTCTTCAGGCCACATTTCAGAACATCTCCAGCAACTCCTCGTAGAAGTCGTTGAGTTTGCCACTGTAGCGCTTTTTTATCTGAGACACCTGTGGAACAAAAACTGGAGATTCATGGACTGCAATGGCTGCCAACAAAAAACGCGAGAAAGATTAGCTTCATGTTACTTCCGTTCCAAAACATTCCAAAGGGTAACGCCCTGATGGCAAACTGTCAGAGATTTTCACCAAAGATGTCCTCTATAGCACACCACAGTGCAAAAACTCCGCTGGGCGGGCGCTGTCGAACAAGGATGTCAACTTTGGGATATATTCGACCTCGGCAAACACGCATATGAAAGTGCATTAAAGTGCCACATCTTCAAATAGTGCGGGTATCGATGAAAACTGGATGGTTATGATGGTTGACGACAAACTGTGTCCATGGCAAAACATGGCTTAAAAGTGCAGCCTCAGTTGAGATGTGAGTTGATGTTTTTTTCCTCTATTTCTCCCAAAAGCTCATCGATGGTTATCTTCGACCTGCCTGGATAAAACATTGGTTATTTAGGTCCTATGGTCATGAAAGAAATTGCCCACAAAATGAGGTACCCCAAAACTCAAATTCTCATGATGTTTCTGTATGTTTCTATAGAAATCTATTGAATTTATTTGAATTGCCTCCAAAGAATGGTCATCCTGAAATATGTCCAATCTCAGCCCAGTGGCCAAACTGCCACCATCCAGCTGCCGAGCCCAGCGGTCAACATCCTGTCCAGCAGAATCCACAGGATGGAAGCGGTGGAAAGCCCAACCCCCCAAAGGCTGCACCAGGCCTCGGCCTCCAGCAATTCATCCTTTTCTGGGGAAACCCGTGCCACATCTTCATCGTCATCGATCTGCACCACTCCTGGTGCGGAAAATGGAAGTTCTTAAATGGTGGCTACATCTAAGACATCATACAGGTCATTGTACGGGTCAAAACAAGATCGAAAAACCATTCACAACTCAGTTGAGAGTGATTTATGCTGTTCTATCTGTTTCAGGCATTACTATGTGGATTGCTATACAAGCTATAAATCACATTATAATTATATTATAAATATATTATATGTTTATTATTATTATCATCATATAAAATATTATTGTTGTTATTCATAGTAGATTGATGATGTACATCTAGTGAATCTAGTGAGGCTACCCAGCCTTTACCTTCCATCGAGCCTCGCAACGCAACGACCTTTCGCTTCTTGGCTAAGCCCACAGGTTCAGCCTGGGGCTGAAAATTCGCCATGTGGGTTTGTCTCAAAATACAACTATTTAAACTATTTATGGACATGTTCTTATGGAGAAACTGATCATGAAAAAGCATTGATGAAGAAATTGATCAACAATTTTGTTTAAAAAAAACTAAATTTCATATAGAAATTGATCAAGTATCCTGGAAACCTTCCAGGATTGGATTGCTTGTCCAACTTTGAAGTCCTCCAGCGATATCTCCGCCGTGGAGCTGAGATCGCCACCAGTTGGGGTCGTTGGGGTCGTTGGGGTCGTTGGGGTCGCGAGCGACGCGAGCGCTGAAAGGGGCGCTGTGTGGGGCCTCGGACGATCCTGTGGGTCGTTGTGGATGATTTCATGGATTCTGCCGGATTTCTACCATTGATTTCAGCTACCCTCTGGTAAACTAACGTAACTATGGAAAATCACCAGTTTTAATGGGTAAATCCACTATTTCTATGGCCATTTTCAACAGCTACGTTAGTTCACCAGAGGCTATTTCCACCAAATTATATGGTCATGGAATGTCATGGAGTCATGGCCAATGAGATGAAATCTGCAGCCGGTTTTCCCAGCAACTACCAGTCCTCACATCGATGGCGTCGGAATTCCGCCGCCGTTCCGGCGTTCTGGACCTGGCACATCAAGCTGGTTTCGGAATGAAGCCCCAAAGTAATTTCGTGTCCTATACTTCATATCATATATAATATCAACATGTTAACATATATCAACATATCTCAATGATATACATATCATCAATATCTTAACAGTTATGATGTTAAATGATGACGAAATTGAGATATCTCCAGTTAAGATTCGAACATATCCCTCCGCCACACCTAGGAGCTTCTCGAGCTTCTTCAGCTGGTCGGACTTCATAGACCAGCGCTTCCTTGTAGGCTGGGTGAGCCGCCTGAGCCGTTGGATTCGTTGCATTCGTTGGAACACCCATTGATTAAGAAACCCATGATTTTTTGGTTACAAAAACTTAGAAAACCATGATCTTTTTGGGGAAAAACATGGGAAAAACCATGTGCTTTCTTTTTGGGAAAACCCATGAATTTCTGGCTGAAAACCATCCATGTTTTTGGGGGGAAGTGATGATTATGTGATGAGAATCTGATGATTCTTGACCCTCTCCAAGTCGCGATGCATCAGATCTCAGGTGCTTTTTTTAAGCCATGAAGGGTGCCCGGGGTGCCCCGGGGTGCCCCGGGGTGCCCGGCCGGCAGGAAGGAGACTTTGTCAAAGGGGTGAAGCTCCACTCGGATCCCATTGGCCAATCGATGTTCGTTGACCCAGGTGCCGTTCACGGAGGTGTCCTGGACCACTGGAGATGCCATGGATGCCATGGATGCCATGGATGCCATGGCAGGTGCCACATGCCATGGCAGGATCTGACGAAACTGTCGTTTCACTTTTTGGAAAGCACAAAGCAGACCCCTGCAGAACCTGGATCGACAACGTCCCAGCGACCAGCCTCAGCTGTCAGCTGTGCCAAGCACCACATCTACAACTCTGTCAGCCACTGAAATCGGTAGCCAAATCTCTCCAAGCGGCTCCAGCACCGCATGGGCCTTTGAAATGTGCGGTTTCTGTATCACCACATTGGCAAACTCCTGCGCGAAGACGGTTTCGACACGGGTTTTGACCAAGAAACTGGTGATCAGTGATGATCAAATTGATCAAAATCTTAAGCCACAAAAACACTGGCACGTGAATGAAACAATACTTCACCTGGCACTATTCTTCGAAATTTGGTTTCAGTGTCTTACACCTTCTCTCTGAGAGCGGCCAATGTTTCTGTGAATTCAGAGATCGAACATCCCAGGTTCCACCCAGGGACGCCAACATGATTTCTAGCCAAACTCCTGAGTCGAAACTCCATGTTGCGACTGTGATGCCATTTAATCATCTTTACCTCTACCTCCAGGAAAAATGGGTTCTTCGTGATATTTCATGATGTTTCAGTGCAAAAAATACAGACGTGATCCATTTTGTGGAAGGATGTCTTGTGGGATCAACAAGATTACATTAATACCATATATACATGACTATATGGCTACGTAATACTATATAATTATACTAATACACCCTCTATGACAACTACATGAAAACCATATGTATCTAATACATATATATATATATATTATATAAATATAATATAGTATATATAATAGTTATATAGATAGAAACCATCCAAAAAAACAAAGGGGCACCGCGTGATTTTTGTTCCGCCCTCCTCTTCGCGGCCCAAGGTTAAGCGCCGTTGGTTCACTTCGATCACCTGATTTTGATGGGCCCATGGCCCATGGTAATTGGATGGGTCAAGTCACCATGAAAACCCCCTGGTGAACGTCAAAGTACAGTATATCAAAATGGCTGGGAATTATGGATGTTCATCCTCTAAGAAATTGTATCTATAGCTATCAATCCATAGCCATATAACTGTAAGACTATATTTTAACAAGAAAATAAAAAGCGGGACAACATGGGATTCTATCCCAGTATGTTAGATATCCCAAATTACATATGTATTAGTTCATATATCATATACTATGTCATTGGATTTCACACAGGATATATGTAATTATATATATACAAAAACTTGATAACATGGGATTACATGGGATAATTTTGAAGAATATGGGATAATAGGGGATGATATAGGGTGTATATATATATAACTATACAACCAACCATGTGATAATTGAGTTTTTTTTAACCATCACCATGTTTTTTCGCTTCAAGAACTAAGGAAACAAATGAAACATGTAGATGCCACCAGTAACACTGGACATAAGCTGAACAAGAAAGATCTCTTCTGTTACGACCAAAAAAGGTCATGTCGGGAGATCATCGGGATGGAAAATACGAAAAACTCATCCCATCTTTCTACAATCATCGCATTGTCCAAGAATAGGGTGCCCCATTCCAACCCATGGTTCATCGTCATATGACCATTGTCTAAATAGCGATAAATTCAGCTTTCCACATGCTGTATGTTTCATAGTAAAAGACTAGCATGTTTCATAAATTGGGGGTTATCATGCTCTCCATTATCATCATATTCCACCTTAAAATCGTTAAGATTGTCATAGAGGTCCAAAACTATGTATCGTGTGGTTGGGATAACTCTCAGTAGTTCCTTAGTTCCCAATTTCATATATGAAATACCCATTGCTGCAAATCGCTACCTCCTAATCACTGGATAGGTAAATGTACCCTCGATTTATAGATCATTTACCTCGTTTAACAGGTTTTTTTTGCAGCGATGTTAAATTACCCAGAGGGTACCCTCCTGTAACATAGATGTTGAAAAGCATTTGTAGATCATTTTCCCATAAAAAACTGTAGGTTTTCCATTTTCCCATGGGAAACTGTTGGTTTTTCCATCATTTTCCCATGGGTAACTTCCATATCTTTACGGCGAGCCAACCAAAGCCGCGCACCTGTGGGACTCCCGTCTCTGGCGCACCACGACGCCGGAGCACGAAACCACGGCCTTCGAGCGCCTGGTTCATATGCCAAGATTGATGTATAGTTTTATATAGTCTTATGCATCATATATAGCTTTTCTATATTATATATATATGTATATAATATATACAAATATGTATTATATATATCAACATATTATATATATATATATGTATTGATATATATATATATCATACATATGCATGACAGTATATATCTATAATTATATAATTAATTGTACATGATTTAATATACTTTACAATCTGTCAAAAATGCCAATATTCCAGTGACAACACATGACAACACAACCATACCACTGCTATACCTTTCTTGAATTTTCTGATGGTGTAAACAAGTGTGTAAACATGTGTAAATCAGTAATGTCCAATCAAGAGCTGGCACATGGGAACGTTTTAGCGATGCCTAGGATTTTGATGTGTCCAAATTACGCAGATGGCTGGGGTGCAGGATCTCAAACCTTATGTCTTATTATATCTAATGATATCTTGCAATATCTTATGATATTCTTTGTGTATATATATATGTGTATATATATATATACAGTATATGTATATTTATATATGATTTATTATGTGTATTGTTCTTCATCTCCATGGTGGGGAAGCGACAAAAGCATACTCTATGCACCTTCTGACCCTCGGCATAGAGTCTGAGATCCTGGTAGTGGCCCAAGAGACATCTGACCGGATAGGTGTCATCTTCCTCGGCCCAGCTGGGCGAGCTCTGCGAGCATCGGGTGACATTTTCGGTGGAATTTCTGCACGCGACATGCGCCAAAGACAGAAAGGCTTCACAGGTTATTTGGACTGGAATCTTGGGACCTAATATGATTGTATTAGTTGGAATATGTTGGAATATGTTGGAATATGTTGGAATGTTGGAACCCCTTAAGAATTCCTGAAATATCCATAACTTAAATGTTGGATGGGAAAATCCAGAGAGACGGATCCCGCCAAAGTGACAACTGGGCCAGGGTCCCCAGGGTGGCTGTTATTTTGGGCGATCCAAGTTGTTAGTCCCAGTTGCTGCTGCAGGATTGTAGACATATCGTCCGTGGAGAAGCTCAAACATCGTCTGTCGCCGTGAGATTTCGCGAGATTTCGCTGAGAATGCTGAGAAGAACTGAGAAATCAATGGCAAGTGAAACATGTGAAACTATGTGAAACTCCAGAAACCATCAGATCCATCAGAACTTATAAGACTCATACACTTATACAACTTATACACGACAAATCAAACCATCAGAAACTTGCCGGGACATAGCTCTTGTTGTAGGCGTCTGTTTGAATATTCGACGTTCCGCTCCCACCTTTGCTCCCTCCGCCGAAGCAAAGTTCACCAACAAGTGAACCACGGCAGGGTCCTCCAATGGCTGGAAACTGTGAACAGTTTGGCATTGCGACTGTCTGAAGATTGTGGGGAAAACACCTGTGCCCCGATCATCATTCCAAATGTAACAGTATTTAACAGGATTTCAAACAGAAAAAAATGCCAGAGATCTTCGAAATACCAGGGTGTCAACATATATCTTTGGCGTTTCACGATATTGAACCCGGTCATCGAATCGGTCCCGCGCATGGACGATCAAGGACTCTAGCACTTCACCCCACAGGGCGGGAAAGTCGAACCTGTTCAAACGCGCAACTGTTGGGATTCATCCATGATTCATCCATGTTCATTCCGTAAAATGATCTATGAACTTACTGATGAAGCATTTTGGGAATGAAAAAACCGTCAAATTTGAGACCCTATTAAATTATACCGGAAGCAATGAAGATGTGGATACCAATCGTCAGCTGACTGCCCCCAGGCTCGTGTGTCCGCAAACTGGCGGTGTAAAACAATGAATTTATTTGGTATTGCATTGACCACAATTTCAAGCTGAAGTTGAGTGGTTGAATGGGCCAAGATTTCATCATCTTCACGCATTTCTCGAGTTTTCTGAGATGGCGACCAAACGGAGCCAGACTTCTGTGGATATTGCTTCTGGCCCTGGCAACACGGTAACATCAGGCTCATGGATTCATCCCATTCTCCTTCGAGAACTCACAAAGATATGGAAAGGCACATCTCGGGTACTCAATGACTCCATGGTACGCCTAAGAATTCTCACCCAAATTAATTCACAATCTTCATACCATCTTCATACCATCTTCTTATCATCTTCATATCATCTTCATATCTTCCCCAGTTTTGTGATCCCATGTCTCCCATTGAAGATCAATTTCGCACAGTTCTCCTACCTCCGGCCAGCCACTGATCCACTTCAAAGGCAGGTCTAAGAGAAATCCCGTCTCCACCTGCGAAGATGTTGATCAAAAACAAGCACCATATGACACATTTGTATCATATGAATCATATCATATTGTCATATATATATATATATACGTACATATATGTATATATACTTATTATCTTAATGTTGATCATATGAGTGTTGTCATAAACATTGTATAAATCATATCCACCATCAGTTTGTTTCCAAAACGTCAAGAAATATGACTGAACATCACATCTCTCTACATGTAATGTAGGTCATGTATCTGTGGTAGATGTCGCATGTCCGATGTATCATGGCTATGAGTACCACATCTATCCATGTCACTCCACTTGGCTCCGGGATGTCCCAATTTCTCGGTGTTTTTGCGGGTGGTTTTTACCATTGAACAGCCCACTAAATCACCATTCAATGACCTCCAAATCCAACCAAACCCCATGAGGATTTCAATTTCTCAGCCTATTCAAAACACAAAAATACACAAAAAAAGAGATAAAAAGAGCCACTTGGAGTATGTATTGGCTGTATTATGCTGTATTGGTTTCGCCATCTCCGGAAATCGCCGGAAAATCTTCGGAAGCCTCAGGATGAAGGGCCAGCAAATCAGCGAGCTTCTGTTGGTGCTGCACACTGCTGGTATCTCTCAGCCTCAGCTCAGCCAGAAATCACCTGGATAGCTGCTAGCTGTAAATCATGGGCAAGTGAAACCTGTAAAACACAGAAGGTGTGTCCATTTTTTCCAAAATGTCAAAGAATATCAGGGACAAAGTGTACATTTTATACATTTTATATCTCTGTTTCATTATCAATCTGCACCTCATTCGGATCTGCAACCGCATAGCCATCCGGTGCCATCTGAGGCCCCAGGCGCGTGAAATGCAGCCGTGACGCTGCCACCGCAGAGGCTCTGTTGTCTTCCCCTGCAGCCATGAGGCGACCACACAGAACCCCCAAGCCACTTGACTCATGTTATAAACATCAACCATATGGACCATAATCATCAAATATCATTGTTGATGTTGTTGATGAAGTTGATAAAGTTGTTGATCAAGTTGCTGAAGTTGATGATGATGATGATGATGATGCCAGGATTCTCTTATGTGGTGTATATCTTGCTTTGCTCTGAGTGGTTTTCACCTATTTCTGAGTTGCTTTGTATATCTTGTTCTTCAATTTGCAACGCTCAAAGCTTGGCGCCCTCTGGGGCCCTCCGGGGCCACGGGCTGCTGCATCTGATGCCATTTCGCCTCTGCAAATTACCAGCTATTTTACAGCTCACAATGGGTTGTAATATGTTGTAATCATTGATAATCATTGAAACTTAAAGATATCGTGAAACATAATTATGGCCAATCCACATACCAACTATAATCTATAATTAGTTAGCTATCAAGTGTTAGAATTATCACAACAAAATGGGACTGCGATGGGATCATTCCCAGCTTTCCAGTGGTCACCAGCTCAAGCCCTTGACGCAAAGCTGTCCATCGCCAGCCATGGCCAGTCGCAACAACTTCCGGCGACCTATCGGGTCGACCATGGCGGATTTCGACCATGGCTGGTGTCAAAATGGGGGAAATGTACCATGGAAAAGACATGGAAAATGGCATCAAACTCTGGGAAATTGGAGGTCATTGGAGTCGAGAACATCGGGATTTCCATGGATTTCCAGGGTAACATCATATTTTGTTCAGGGTAACAATCAATTCGGGTTGTGATGTAATGGATGTGACAGATTTCCAGAGCGATCTGACACCAAGCAAAGGGGCATTCAAAAGTGAGAAAAATGATGCAGAAACCTGGATTTTTGCCATCAAAATTTCAGTGCCTTGTTTTCAGACAAACCAAAGAAATTCGATCGAAAAAATCGCCCTGGGTGATTTCCAACCTCGGAGGGTATGTGATCTGAATCCCCCTGGCACCGGCACCTCTGTCGCCAGTTTCTCCCAGCCGGGGGACCACGTGGATGTTCATACAGCACACGGAGGATGGAAGCTTCTCTTCAAGCAATAGACTCAACTCCTGATGTGAACCCAACACATCAGGGTCTACTTGGGTCTTTCGGATGGCACCTGGATAAACAAAAATATATGTCATGTTCTTCCCAAAAGCTTCCCTCCTTGTTCCCGAATGCGTAGCAAGGGTTCCCGTTTCACTCTGGGGGTCTGGGGGTTGAGGGTGTGTTCGCTCGACGTTGCGTTCACGGTCGCAACCGTTCGCAACCGTCCGCAACCGTTCGCAACCGTTCGTACGAGGTCCGTATGGCCGTGCCTATGGGAAGTTTTGCAGAGGTGGTCATTTTTGGGGGTTTCGGACGTGTCGTTGCTTCGTTTCGCGTGGCAGGCGTGACACTTTGTGACATTCAGACGTGTTTTGCAACGTGTTGAAAATCGTTTTGCGTGGCAGGCCCAATACTTTTGTGACGTTTTTAGAAGATGTGTTGCAGTTTTCGTGGCAGGCGCAGCACTTTGGACGTGTCCATCGTCATTTTTCGTGGCAGGCGCAGCACTTTAGACGTGTCATGTTGCGTGTTTTTTGCAAATCGCATTGGCAGGGCTGCGTCAAGTGGCGACAAGGTGCAAATTCCGTGGCAGGCGTGGCATTTTGTGCGATGCGTTGAAAATTGACGGAAGCCTCGCACGAAACATCGATTTTGAGGTTGCCAATTTTCACGTTCTAAGGAAAACTCGTAGGAAAACGTCGATTTTGAAGCTACAAAGTGTGAAAATTAGAGGAAGCCTCGCACGAAATGCTCGTTTTGGCGCTCCCACATGTCTCGTCTCGCGTCTCTGGTTTTCCCGTGGCCTCGCCGTGTCTATGGGGGAAGCTGCAAAAGTTGTCTTTTTGTCATGATGCCAACTGTGAAAATTGCCGGAAGTCTCGTACGAAATGCTCGTTTTTTTGCACCCACGTGTGTCGTCTGGAGTCGCTGGTTGTCCTGTGGCGTCGCCGTGTCTATGGGGGAAGCCGCAAAACCTCTCCTTTTCGAATGTTTCCACGCAGGTTGTCATGTCGTTTTGCGTGGCAGGCGTGGCACTTTGTGACATTCCAACCTGTTTGATAACGTGTGGAAAATATCAAAATTGGAGGAAGTCTCGTACGAAATGCTCGTTTTTTTGCACCCACGTGCGTCGTCTGGAGTCGCTGGTTGTCCTGTGGCATCGCCGTGTCTATGGGGGAAGCCGCAAAACCTCTCCTTTTCGAATGTTTCCACGCAGGTTGTCATGTAGTTTTGCGTGGCAGGCGTGGCACTTTGTGACATTCCAACCTGTTTGATAACGTGTGGAAAATATCAAAATTGGAGGAAGTCTCCTACGAAATGCTGGTTTTTCTGCATCCACGTGTCTTTCTCGAGTCGCTGGTTGTCCTGTGGCGTCGCCGTGTCTATGGGGGAAGCTCCGCACTCCACACTCTACACTTTACACTCCACACTCCACAATCTACACTTTAGACTCCACACTTTACACTTTACACTCCACACTTTGCACTTTACACTCCTCACTCCTCACTCGAGACTTTACACTCCACACTCCACACTTTACACTCCACACTCCCCACTCTACACTTTACACTCTACACTTTCCACACTACACTCCACACTTGACATTTTACACTCCAGACTTTACACTTTACACTCTTCACTCCACACTTTACACTTTACACTCCGCACTCCTCACTTTACACTCCACACTCCTCACTTTACACTCCACACTCCACACTTGACATTTTACACTCCAGACTTTACACTTTACACTCTTCACTCCACAACACTTTACACTCCACACTCCTCACTTTACACTCCTCACTTTACACTCCACACTCCTCACTTTACACTCCACACTCCACACTTCTCACTTTACACTCCGCACTCCTTCCACTCCACACTCCACACTCCACACTCCACACTTTACACTCCACATTCCACACTCCACACTTTACACTCCACATTCCACACTCCACAATTTACACTTTAGACTCCTGACTCCACACTCCACACTCCACACTACACTATACACTCCACACTCCACACTCCACACTTTACACTCCACACTCCACACTCTACACTTTACACTCTACACTTTACACCCTACATTCCACACTTTACACTTTACACACTCCAGACTCCTCACTCCACACTTTCCACTCCACACTCCACACTCCTCACTTTACACTCCACACTCCACACTCTACACTTTACACTCCGCACTCCACACTTTACACTCCACGCTTTACACTTTACACTCCGCACTCCTGACTTTACACTCCACACTCCACACTCCACACTCTACACTTTCCACCCCACACTCCACACTCTACACTTTACACTCCACACTCCGCACTCCTCACTTTACACTCCACACTCCACACTCTACACTTTACACTCCGCACTCCACACTTACACTCCGCACTCCACACTCCACACTTTACACTCCGCACTCCTCACTCCTCACTTTACACTCCACACCCCACACTCCACACTACACTTTCCACCCCACACTCCACACTCTACAATTTACACTCCACACTTTACACTCCACACTCCACACTCTACACTTTACACTCCACACTCCACACTTTACACTCCCACACTTTACACTCCGCACTCCTCACTTTACACTCCACACTCCACTCTCTACACTTTCCACCCCACACTCCACACTCTACACTTTACACTCCACACTCCACACTTTACACTCCACACTCTACACTTTACACTCCACACTCTACACTTTACACCCTACACTTTACACTCTACGCTCCACACCCCACACTCTACAATTTACACTCCTCACTCCACACTCCACACTTTACACTCCGCACTCCTCACTTTACACTCCACACTCCACACTCCACACTCTACACTTTCCACCCCACACTCCCCGCACTCTACACTTTACACTCCACACTCCACACTTTACACTCCACACTCTACACTTTACACTCCACACGCTACACTCCACACCCCACACTGCAGACTGGTAACAGGGGAAATATGTACAAGACTGTTCAAATAAACTATTGCAGAAAAGTGTTCTGCGTGATTGCATATCCATGTGTTTTGACATCTGCGCCATTAACATACGTGTGAGCATTCGGGTTCGTGGGCTGCATCTTGTTTTTTTTCCATGTTTCGATGCTCAAAAAAGGGGGAAGATCTCTTCAGAATGGCCAGTGATTCCCAGTGATTCCCAGTGATTCCTTGATGGCCAAGGGCAGCAGCCGATCCGAAAGGTTGGAGAGAACCATTTCTACATCCACCACAACCGCCGCCAAGATGTAGACCTGCGACTTCTGCTCGGTTCTTTAAATGGTGATACAAGCTGTTTTGATGGGGTTGTAAGGTTGGCTATCTATCATTTGTATGTCATATAATACGTTATATATATATATATATATTAAAAACACACATTATATATATAATATATTAACAAAGTTACTTGTATCTCTATAGTAGTGTGTACTTACTATGCTAAAGCCTATCCTCCCGCCTATGGATCCTATGGGGCCCATTGGAACATTTGGGCTATCCACTCGCTTGGTTATCATGCAGCTGCTCGGAAGACGGCTCACTGTGGGAACTTCTTGATTTGATATTTGCATTTTTTACCATATGCTGCAACCATCAAAGTATCCAATAAAATCCAATAAAATCCAATAAACACAGTATGACAACTCATCAACCAAAGGCCTCATCAATAAGCACCGACACGAAGTTGAATCAAGCGAGGCCCAAAAAAAAACATATCAAAAAAGCACGTGTCTCGCCATCGGATCCACCATATCCACCATGTTCAAACTGGAATCCTTACAGGAAATACATGGAAATATCTAATATATATATATATATATTATAAGGTTTTGGATCGAAGGTTTGCCCCCTCGTTCTTTTCAACCTTAGGGGACCCCCGTGACTTCCGGTCCCCGGGCAATCGGTTTTTGCCTTGCTGTGCGGCTGCACCCATTTTTTCCTGAACTGGTTTCGCCCTGGGAACTTGGTGCTGCGCTGGCATCCGTGCTCTGCTAGGGCCTTGGGCTGGCCCTAGTATCACCTTCGGTTGCTGAGGTCCCGGCCTCGTATAAAAATCCCGGGTTTTGGTGGTGCTGTGCATGGGGTCCTCTTCTTCATCTGGATTGGCCTTCCTCCTGCACCTTTTTCTGCTCTTTGACATCCTTTTTGCATTTGACAAGGTTCTGACCGTGCGCTACGGCGTCTGCATCTGCGAGACGTACCCAGAGAAGACAGAGAGCCAGGGCAAGGCTCCAGTGGTTTTTGCACCGTACAGGCAAAGCCCGTCTTGCTGGGTTTCAACTTCAGCGGATCTTTCAGACTTTGAGCTCACATCATTCGCGCGATTGTGGTCTTCTTCGCGCCATTGTGAGAGCCATGCAGAACCAAAATGCTCCTTGGAGGTGCTTGCATTGCAAACAGCTTCGCAAGCAAAGCGCGACCCATTGTCAGACTTGCCAGTTGCCATGGCAGACGGCAATGGATCGCACCTACATCCATGGTGTCAAGCAGCAGCAGACCTATCAGCAGAACTATCAGCAACAATGGAATTATCAAGGTGGACATCAGTACTACCAGGGCGACCAGTCCCCTCGCAGTCAGAAGTCCCCTCGCAGGTATCAAAGCCCTCGAAAGAAATCACCAAGAGGAGGCAAAGGCAAGGACAATGTAGGATTTGGACAGTCCTCTCAGTTCCAGTCCTTTCAGCACTTGCCACCTCAGGGATATCCCATGGGCCCTCCATTGCCACCACCGAGTGGTCCACCGCCTCCGTGGGCTTATCCTGGTGCACCGAGCAATATGATGCCGATGATGAACATGATGCCGATGCAGAATGTTTCAGTGCCGCAGCAATGTGCTCCCGCGCAGGCCTTCACCCCGTTGGCCATGCCTGCGCCTGCATGGTGCAAGAGGCGGTGCCGAACGAACTCCTCAACTATTTGCAGAAGCGCTCCGTGGATTTACCTCCGGATGTGCAACAAAGAGTCCAGACAGAGTCGAGGAAGCAAGGAAAGAGGGCTATCAAGGATCTTCAAGCAGCAGCCAAGTCTCTGGGAGAGGCCCGCACTGCCTACGAAGAAGCCCTGGTTGCCCGTACCCAGCATATCAGCTCCTGGAAATCCTTTTTGGCAGAGGCTGTGAAAAACTGGACGGATTATGCCAAGCTTTTCGAACAGCACGAACAGGCCTTACAGTTGAGAATTTCAGCTGCAAAGGACCAATTCCAGGAAGCCAAGGAATGCCTCGATGCTTCCAAAACCTCTGCAGGACAAGTCACCGAGATCAGCGACGAGGAGGAACTTCCGGGCGACTCCGAAAATTCAGCCATGCAAATCACCGAAAGTATCCAGACGCTCTCCAACTCCTTGATGAAGCTCTCCAAAGAAGCAGAGTCTATCAGGTGGAAGGACCATCAGCGAAAAGACCCAGAATGGAAGAGAAAAAGGAGGAGGGATTGGCTGGAGACGGTTCGAAGCAGCCTTTCAGCTAGGCGGACTGTCTATGACCTTATGGTATAGCAGTCGGAAGCCAGATGTTTTTGATCTTCCCGCAATTGCAGCTCTCAAATGGAGTCACAGTGTGATGCAAGAGCCGGACTTCTGCTGTGAATTTGGTGCCAGAGAAGCCGCTCATCGACTTGCCTTTGAGATTGAACTCGAGGGAGACCACTTGATCTCTCCCAGTCACAGTTCCCCTTCGAATCCTCGAACCAGCAGACGTCCAGGTCTTCATGTGGGTTTTGCAGACACGACGGAGCTGAGGTTGAGTTTTGAAGATGACTGGAAATTTCATGCGTTTTCCTTGCCTTCTCATTATTTTGCCTCAGGGATCACACCATGGAGTGGATGCCAGAAGATTGCGGAGATGAAGCAAAGCCGCTTTCACTTTTGCCCTTGGCATGATGGAGGACTTGTACGAAGTTGCGAGCCTACACATGCACAAGAACACCATCGAATTGCGTCCACTCCTGCTGATTCATCCCGGGTAAAGAATTTTGAGAATGAACAGTTCATCCCTTCCTTCAACTTTGACAAGACGCCTTCAGATTCCAGCAACCTCACTGGTCGACTCTCCGGCATGAGACAGCACTTTGCTGACAATGCTGTAGTAGATCCCAATGAAGTAACTGGGGACACCTCCAGTCATCCTGGAATCATCGAGCAATTCAAAATCACTGACAACTACTATGACAATCCAGCACGTCGCATCCAACAGGAACCTGAAGAACCTGATCCCGACGTCATTCCAGACATTCATGAAGCACCACAGTTTGCTCAAGATCTTCATGCAATCGCTGGACGTTTTGCCATATATGATGATCCAGATGGAGATGGGATTTTACGGCTGAGAACCTGGTATCTTCACCATCAACACATGATTGTGAACTTCCATTCCAGGACCGTTGAACTGGATGAAGATTGGCGGCGTTGGTCCGATGATATCATTGGCTCTTGGCGAACTCACCTCCATGCTGGTGCTAGTATTTTCTTTCATCTTGTCCATCCAGATCCTTACAGAGGATATCTCAGACAAGAAGTTCATTGTGACGTCATCATCACGCAAGGCAACGAACTGCCACGACGTGCAGGGCTCCTGACTGTTCACTATCAAGGAGAACAAACTGACCCGCACACTTATGCAGTTGCGAGTTCCCTGGAGATGATTGTCAGTGGCAGACGTTTAGTCGAAGCGGCTGATGCTGATCAATGGTGCCTCAATTCTTTCCATCGATGCAGCGTTGCATTTGGATGGCAACACATTCCCTTTGATACTCAGCCTATTCATCAAGTTCAAAATGGACATGCCTTCATCATCATGGTTACGAAAGCCCGACAAGAACATGATCTTTCTCTTTCGGGCCAGGCTGAATCACATGGGCAGAATACGCAAGAACATGACTATGAAGAAGCTCCGCATTTTGGGGAATTTGCCCAGACCCCTCAAAGTGTGAGGTCAGCATCTTCTCTTTCTTCACGACCAGACTTAGAGGTTGGCGTCCATGTTTTCCGTCTTGGAATGCCTGATGATCACTGCTATGTGGGCTGGCAGGATTACCGGCAAATTCTTTATGACATCACCAGGTGTGTACATGCTCAGCGCAATGAGATTGTGGCATTGCACTACCTGCAAGCTCATCCCATCGGGATCCATTCTGAAAATGAGAAGGCAGTCATTTTGCAATCCATCCATGACATTCAGGCGGCGTCCATGGAACAATTGATTCTCTTGGACCTGGAGATACATTACCATGCCCTTCCTAGTGGATTGCTGGTGCCGCCAACAGTCTCTAGAAGAGTGATGCGCATTCACCCTCCTTTGCATCGATCCCAAATGCTGTTGCTCACGGGTCTCAATGACTACTGTGAGCTACATGGAGACAAATGCATCATCTTTGAGAACAACCTCATTTGGTCCTCCAATGACCGAACAGTTCATGCATTGACACATGGTGCCTACATTAGGATCCAAGTGCCACCTCCAGATGATCCACTTTTGGACACTGAATCGGCCATTGCGATATCCCGTGAATTCGCTCTGGAATCCGATAGAGGACACTTTGCGACCTTCTGTCCAGGCAATCACCAACCACCACCAGATTTTCCTCCTCCTGAAGATGATGGTAGCGCTTTTTTGCAACATTCCATACGCAGCTTTGTGGCTTCATGCTCTGCATGGCAGGTTCAGTGGCAGCCCATGCAGCTTAAAGTTTCCCCAGCGCATGTGGTCCAACCGGCGATTCTTAGTGCAAGCCATGATCAACAGCAAGGACCTGCACCGCAAAGACCTTTCAGTGGTTTTCATGGCAGAGATTTTGACACTCTCTCCAATCTCTTTGCATCACACTCCATGATTGAATGTGAAGAAGAAGGTCCCATTGCTTATGTTGATACTTGGTACATCCACCATGAACGTCAGCAACAATGTCGAGCACCACGCGCTGTTCGGCTCCTCCAAGATCCTGCGGAATGGCTTGAAGACCTTTTGGCACCCTGGCGTGACATCATTGATCCGACCATTGCCATCACGATCTTCCTTGTGAGACCCTCACCCCCATGCACTCAGATGGAATGTCTTCTTGCCCATTTCATCATTGAACAGGCACCTAGACCTGAGTGGGTTGTCGGTCTCATCTCCATCCAGGAAGTGAATCCTCAGGGAATTTCCATTGATCATCGTGCCTTTTCCTTGCCTTCATTGATGTGGGCCCAAGCAGTGATTCGAGTTGCGGGCATCCAGGAACGATGTCGTTTCCGCAGCTGCACAGTCCAAAGAGGAGCCATACCTTTTGGAGTTTTTGACATGGACCATGTGGATCCTGGCATGAGCTTAGTTATTCATGTGCGCGACAGAATGCCCTTTGTGGCGTCAAGTTCCATTGAGGGTGACATCAGTGGACTCATGCAGCGCCCTCCAGATCCTCATGCAGCTGCCAGACCACCTGCCGGGCCTGCAGCGGCGGCGCCTTTTGTCTTCAATCCAAATGCAGCTGCCTTCTGTCCGGGCCAGGCACCACTCAATGTTCATTCAGCCTGAGACCATTCAGGAACTCCACGAGCACTGGCGCAGAACTGCCTTTAGTTGGGAGGAAGAATCGGCTTCGACATCGGTCATCACATGGTTCGTCGATCAATTTCATCAGCACCTTCACTCATGTTGGCAGCCTCGAATTGTAAGGCTTTACGAAGATTTTGATGCCTGGGAAAGGACCATGCGGGCTGCCTGGAATGATGTTCAATTGCCAGGAGCTCCCATTTTGTTCCACATAGTGCTTCCAGTGCCACCAAATACAGGGCCAGAAATTGCAGCACACGTGCTATTGGTTCAAAACCCACAGGACACGCTCTCTTCCAGTGTTGTCACGGTGTTTGAAGCCAGTGCAGAAATTGCTCGGCTTAGCCATCAACTTGCTGTTACAACTCATGAACGCCTTCATCTGGAGCACTTAGTCACTGGACTGGGTTTGGCTGGGAGATGTCTTCATCCTGGAGCTCCGTCAATTTGTGAAGCATGGGTAGGATCCATCGCTCTTCGCATTGGACATCCATTTCCTGCGCGTGATGGCACTGGCACCATCTTGCAACTCCGCAGGCGGCCGAACTTCCAGGCACAACAAGCTGCACAGGCTGATGATGCCAATCTCCTTCAGATTGGATCGCAGTTGCATACCGGACGAGAGAGGCGCCTAACACATGGGCAGGTGGCTCATACCCATGGGCCTCCCTCCGGTCAACCAACAACCTGTGCAATCAAACTGATACGCGCAAGCTCTGACATGCCCTTCTTGCCGGATTATGTTGAGGTTTCGCAACCCCCAACCTCGCACTACATTCAACAAGAATTGCAAGCCTTCGGCATTCATTGCAAAGTGCTTTTGCTATCCAATGATTGCGTCGCCCTATGCCTTTCATTGGTTGATTCATCAGCTGCGCATAGGAATGACATGGCGCACTTTGCTTATCTTCCTCAAGAGGAACCATGGCAAGCCATTTTGCATTCCATGCCATATGAGAAGGCCACGGAAGTAGAGCACATGAGGCATCTTTACAGCCTGGGCTTCGAGAAAGCGGTCATTTTGAAAACTCTCAGTTGTGATTTTGGTTTTCACGAGATCCACTTCAAAGAGGCCTCAGGTACGATGCAAGCTAAGCTGAAGCAGCCACCAGTGCTTCCTCCATGGCCACAACATCAGCCCAAACGTCCCCAGGGACCCATGTATCAACCAGACAAGGTCGGCACAACTCCTGAGTGCTCTCTTGCGTGTGGCATCACAACGGACGACTTGATGGCTTTCTTCAATTCTTCAAAGGGCACTTTATGCACTTCCTTTGAGAACCTCGACATGCCAGAGCTTTGCACCCAGCATTTTGCGACTTTGGCACATCATTGCCATTTTGACCGTTTAGTCATTTATGCTGACGGATCTTCGCAAGCACGCAGCCGACACATCTCTCCGCAGCAGAATGAGGAAACTGGAACACCCGATGCATGGTGCTTCCTTGTGCTCGGCGAAACTTATACATCCGACAGCACATCAGACATATCGCTCATAGGCTGGTCTGCTCATCATGTCAGATGCGATGCTACTCAGGACTGGTACGTTGGGGCAGACCGAATCGGCTCGGCAATTGCCGAACGTGAAGCCCTGTTTTGGGAGATGATTTGGAGAGTGGGACAAAATTCCAACATTCCCACTATTTTTCGGAGCGATTCAATGCTTACACTTCAACAAGCTCGAGGCGACATTGGTGCCCTTTGCTGTGATGAGTCCTTCCAAAATTTGCGAGGATGCGCACAATTGTTGGAATCAGCGCTTGCCCCAGGTGACTTTGTCCTCGAGCATATTCCTGGCCATGCCGGGGATCCTTTCAATGAGTTCTGTGATTGGGGTGCGAAAGCTGAAGGTAGAGATGGTTTTTTCCTGCCGAGACCAAATTTCCAGCTCGCAACATGGCGCCCGCTTCTGCCATATCTTTGGATGATTTTTGGCGCCTCTGTTGGAGCTCCCCAGTTTCGTGGAACAGGATTTGACATCTCCCCTCCAGCTCTTCCTCCTGAAGAACTGCCTCCGACGGTGAAGCAAGGCCTTTCTGGTCAAAGGATCCTGGACTTCAACATCATCATCGCCACTGGCAATGTACTCTCCCTGGGGCGCGGCCCTGTGGGCTTCAGAGGTAAGCTGGACTACTTGCGCTCCCAGTTCAAAGATCTTCATTTGAATTTCTTGGGCGTTCAAGAAACAAGGGCAGACGCTGGATCCTCCTTACAGGAAGGCATCCTCAGACTTTCCTCTGGCGCAGACAAGGGACATGGAGGTGTTGAACTTTGGTGCAACCTTCAGCAACCAATTGCGATCAGCAAGGGCAAAAGCATTTGCCTTGCGAGAAGTCATTTTACAGTTGTCTTCCATGACTCTCGTCGTCTTCTGGTTAGAGTCCTTCATGACTACTTTGAAGCGTGGTTCTTGGTTGGTTATGCACCACACAGTGGCTACAGCGCCCAAGACAAGGAGAAATGGTGGAAATCCACACAAGACGTTGTGACCAATCATGTTGATCATTTCACGCCTCTCTTTGTTTGTATTGATGCGAATGCAGGCCCTGGTGAACCAGATGGGACTCACATTTTTCAACCGGGCTTTCGAACTTCAACAGGAACTCCTTTTTTGAAGGACTTCCTTACAGACCTTCACCTGTGTGCGCCCATCACCAGTGCAATTCATGAGGGCACCACATGCACGTGGACTTCCCCGACACAAGAGGAGTTTACCATTGATTATGTACTCATTCCGGCGCATTGGTTGCATTGGTGCTCAAGATCCTGCATTTTAGAGGACTTCGATCTTGGAAACAAAGTTGTTGATCACGCGGTGCATGCTGTTGAACTCAAATGGCAACAGACGTTCTCAGCTTTCAGTTCCACTGGATTGTCACACCTTGGTTTTGATCGCAATCGCATTCAGCAACATATGCCAAAGGCTTTCCAGCCCTTCGAAATCCAAGCATGGTCTTCAGATGTTGAACGGCATCTCAAGTGTATCAATGAACAGCTTCACTCTCAGATGCGTCGGAATTGTCCTCGACCTAAACAAGGACCCAAAAGGCCTTACATCGATGAAGCCATTTGGAAACTTCGCAGGCAGAAGCTGGATCACAAAGCACAACTCAAACACATTCGCCTCCTCCTGCGTCGAGAAACATTGGCTCGGATCTTCACAGCGTGGAAGACACAAGACGATAGTCATCGAGAAGCCTCTTTCTGTTTTGGAACCACTTTGCGGATTGGCCTCTTGAAACATGGCTTAGGACTCAGACGTCAAGCGGCCCTTTTGAAGCAACAAATCAGCTTGAGCAAATCTGTTGCCCTTAAAGAGGTCATCAGTCATTTTACACAGTCCACTGGAGCGTCGGAAATTCAACAGAAACTACGACCCTTCATGGGATCCAGCAACAAGCTGAAGCAAGGCTTGGCTCCGCTGCCACTGATCAAGGATGCGCAAGGACAACCTTGCACATCACAGACAGCCGCCATGAATCGTTGGATTGAATTTTTCAGCGAGATGGAAGGAGGGGAACGTGTTGATGAAGCAACTCAACACAAAGATCCAACCTTGCCATGCTACGCAATTTCAACCTTGAAGTCCCGATCGCAGAGATGCCATCTTTGGCTGAACTGGAACAGGTGTGTCGCCAAGTCGCGCCTGGGAAAGCATCGGGGATGGATCGAATTCCATCTGAATTGATGCGATATTGCCCCCGTGATGTGGCAAAGCATCTCTACTCCCTGCTGCTGAAGATTGCATTGCAAGGACAGGAGCCACTAGAGCACAAGGGTGGCTACCTTATCCCCATTTGGAAAGGGAAGCTTAGCCGCGATTGCTGTCATGCCTTCCGTTCCATCCTCATCTCCTCGATGGTCGGAAAGACACTCCACAAGGCCTTGCGTACCAAGCAGACAGAGCTGTATCAGACATATCTTCATCAACAACAGTTGGGAGGCCGTAAAGGCATCTCCGTGGTCCTATGTGGTCATCTGGTCCGCGCTTTTTTGCGCATTTTCGCTGCACGAGGACAACCTACAGCCGTTTTGTTCATTGACCTCCAGGAGGCTTTTTACAGAGTGGTTCGTCCACTCGCGATTTCTGGCCCTTGGACAGATGAGCTTATTGCTTCGATGGCTGCAAGGCTGCACCTGACACCAGACCTCCTGCACGACCTCTACCAGCACCTGCGAGAGCCCAGCGCTGTGGAGCAAGCGCGAATGAGTGTCACCGCACAGAAAGCAATTCGAGCCCTACATACTGACACATTTTTTGCCTTGCCAGGGCAACAGGACAGAGTGCGCACAACACACGGTTCGCGGCCAGGTGACTCGTACGCCGATGTGGTGTTTGGGTACTTAATGTCACGGGTCTTGCAGAGCTTTGAAGCTGATCTTGCGCACACCCACATCCTGTCCCAGTTCCCAGCAGAGCCCAGCATTGACCTGCACTCCAGCGGCTTCCCTGATCAGGATACTCCGCCCCAGACACTGCTTGGCCCTTGCTGGATGGATGATTTGGCCATACCATTGACAGCGGAGACGAATGCAGTTCTTCACCGCAATCTACAGACAGCTACTAGCTGCATCCTGGATACTCTCCGGGCTCATGCAATGACGCCAAATTTGGGACAGGGCAAGACTGAAATTCTCTTCAAGCCTCGGGGTGTAGGAGCGAAAACATTCCGGAAGCAGCTCTTTGGTCCTCATGCACCCAACTGCATCACAGCCATTGGAGAATATGATACTTACAAGGTCAACCTTGTCAATTCGTATCTTCATTTGGGAGGGCTGACGCACTACACAGGAGACCTCCGCAAAGAGATCCGCAGGAGGATCGCAATTGCGCATCAGAGTTTCAACAAACATCGCAAAATCATTTATCAAAATGAGAATCTCCCTATGGGAAGAAGATCAGAGATTTTCTCGAGTTTGATCTTAAGTCGCCTCCTTTATGGCGCAGAAACCTGGTACATTCATGATTTGAAAACCAAAGAGTTCCTGCACAGTGCGATCATCAAGCTCCTGAAGCGTCTCCTTCGCTGTTCGGCAGATGATCACATCACGGATGAGGAAATGCTGCATCGCAGCAACATGCCGACTCCCACGGCTCTTCTTCGACACAAAAGACTGAGCTACTTGTGCTCTCTTTTGAACAATGGACCCTCAGCCCACTGGGGACTTTTGAATCAAGATCAAGATTGGCTGGCACTGATCAAAGATGATCTTCAATGGATGGGAGATCAACTGGCCAACTCATGTAGCCTAGGCAATCCATGTGAGCACACTGCACGATGGCTGGAAATTATGCGTTACCATAAAGGATATTGGAAACGACTCCTTCGCAGAGCACGTGAGCATTCTATTCTCCTGAATTCCAGGCATTTTCTTTGTGTTGCTGCACATTGGCGAGTGCAAAAATCCCTTCAAGGCCATGCTCTTTGGAAAGACTCTCCCAGGAGAAGCAGGACTGCGTCCACAACTGATGGCCCTTTCGGTTGTATGATGTGTGGACTCAGGTGCAAGACTTTCGCTGGGGAAGGAGCTCACATGAACAGAACACACGGTCAAGCGCATCCTGTCCGTACATTGATTGATGGAACCCAATGTGGAGCATGCCTCAAGGAATATGTCACTTTTAGCAAGTTGAAAACCCATCTCATTCGTGCCAGTGCTTGCCGACAGCAACTTCTGGGTCGCAAGTTGAGAGTAGGATTAGGACCTGGTGAGGGATCCACTTCCAACACGGCCCTTCAACAGGCATGGGATGGGCGCCTTCCCCCTCTTCAAGCTGAAGGTCCTCTTCTTCCTCCAGCATGCCCAAGGGATTTTGAGCCTGAGCATTCTGAGCTTTTTGAGACTCTGTCCCTCATGATCGTTGAGATGGATGAATCCGGACTTGAGTTTTTTGAACATGAAGCGAGGAAGGTTATTGCGTGTCTTCCAATTTCATGGACCTTGTGCGTCAAAACCTTGCGGAGCATTCAAGGAATGCTTCCATGTGCAGATTTGAGAAACAATGAGCAGACCATTGGCAAGCTGCAGACGTGCATTGATGGTTTATGTGATTCGGAGACGTGGCCCTTTTTGAGACAACCGTTGAGCCGGCAGGCATGTATGCCCACCCTAGCGGAGATTGAGAAAGAGTTTGAACAGGCAACTCTGGATTTTCAGCCGCCTGAGATTCCGAGACCCTGCAGCAGAGAACGCATTTTTCTCCATATCTTTTCAGGAAGGAGGACAGAAGGAGATTTGCAATTTTACATGGAAAAGCTCTTTGACCAATTTTGTCCCGATTGGTACCATCCTTTGTGTGGTTTCGGTTGACTTAGTGATCAATCAGCAATGGGGGAATGTGCGCTTGCAAACCACTCAGCAGTTCTGGTTACAAGGTGTGCGTGAAGGATGGGTATGTGGTGCGCTTTGTGGACCGCCCTGTGAAACCTGGTCACAAGCCAGGCATGTCCAGGAGGTACCTCACACTACGCGTGGCCCAAGGCCTCTTCGTGATAGCGACAATCTTTGGGGATTTGATTCTCTGAGCTTGCGAGAAGCCCAGCAAGTGGCCATTGGCAACGAGCTTCTTCTCTTCACGATCGAGCTCCTTTACGCTTTGGCATGTGCCGCAGGTTTTGGTGTCGTTGAACATCCCAAAGAACCAGACGACCCAGCCAAGCCGTCAATCTGGAGATTGGCAATCATGAAGCTCCTCGTTCAGTTCCCAAGTGTCGAGGTCATTGATTTGGCACAAGGTCTGCTAGGTGCTCATTCACCCAAACCAACGCGACTCCTGGCCTTGAATTTGCCGACGCTGAGAGGGCATTTGAGAGCGCACCAGGTGACACCTGACCTTCCAAAGAGAAGCGCCATCGGCAAAGCTGATGATGGCACATGGCGCACATCACCTTTGAAGGAGTATCCACCAGCCATGAACATGGCTCTGGCAAAGTCCTTCTGTCAATGGTTCCATGATCATGCATCCTGTACAGACTTTTTCATGGATCCATCTTTTTTACAAAGATGCCGTGCGATGACGTGCCGCACTTTTGGCGATTTCATTGGTCCCGACTTCGGTGGATGACCTTCTACCTGTTGCGGATCGAATTCGAGACCGTGCCAGCTGCGACGAAAGTCCCTATGTGCTGTGCAAAAAATATATATTATATATATGTATATATATTATTATAGTGATTCTATGTGATTCTATGTGATTCTATGTGATTCTATGTGATTCTATGTGATTCTATGCGATTCTATGTGATTCTTGGATAACTCAACTTCTCCAGATGTATCACGGTGTATCCCAGATAATTTGGTTTGGATAGCTACTTGGGATCTCAATCTTCGTCTGAGACTTGGGCGCGGCCACCCAGGCATTTGCCCCAGCGATCGTTCCAAGTCAACTCGGCCTCGCGTCGTGTTCGAATCCCCACATACATGGTTTCCCTTCACCCCAAAACAAGGAATGAAACGTCATGAAATCATATGAAATCCCCGTGATACGATTTCTGTTGAATTCAAAATGAATGATTAAGAAAATATCGAAAATATCTACTGGCCGCGTCTTCCTACCCTTGGCCCTCTGCAGTGGAAGGAACAGCCCTTCTGCCGATGCCATCAGCTAGGCACCAAACCATGGACCATGCCCAGCTGGTGATCACAATCCATCACAGCATATCACGTCGGATGAACCGATGATGTGAGAGGGCGGGTTGAAGTTGAGCTACTTCAACCAGAATCCCAAAAGGGGTAGATCCCAGTAGATCATTTATTGTGTTTGTTTTGCGTGTCTGCATAAATTCAAAAATCAGTGAATTTTGATGGTTCCTCTGCGCTTCGATCGATTTCTATGGCACAAAAACAGAGAAATTCTGGCTGGTTTCAACCGAAAGTCACGCGGAATCTCTTCAGACAAATATCTTCAGACCCATGGTGATCCATCTGCACATGACCACACCAGAGTTCTAAGTTTCATTGGAATTCATGATGTTTGGAGCTGAGATGAGCTGAGATGAGCTGAGATCAGCTGAGATGAGCTGAGATGAGCTGAGATTCAAATCAGGCCACGAGATGCAAAATCCCAAAAAATGGAAGCGAACATAATCACGTGGAACGCGTCCGAAAATGTCATGATTTCATGATTCATGCTGAGCGATCATGTGGAACATGTTTTTACATGTTTTTACCATCTTTGAATATCTTATCTTTGCCGCCATAGTGTAACTGTTCCTTCTTATATTTCTTCGTATGTGTGTCACAAGCATTACATTCAAGTTACGGAAAAGCATGTGCAGCCTAGTTCCCCTGCTTTTTGATTCCGAACATCTCAGCATGTTCCCTGACAAATTGACTGCAAGTTGCGCAAACTAGTTGCGTCGCCACTTGAAATTCCCTCATCAACTGATCGTGCCGAACACCTTCGGCGTGCTCTGCTTCTATAGTGGCTGGTTGAGAGCGGGGTTTCCACTTCATGGATATCCAATTACAATTATTCTAATGACTCTACGTAATGACTTCAATCATCTTCAATCGCCAGTATGATTGTCATATATTGTACTAACCCCATTTTCATCCATATTCTCCCCCTAAAGTGCCCAAACTGCCCCAAACAGCACCATTCGCCATCCGCCGGTCTCATCCTCTTTTCGCTCAGTCACCGGCTGCCCGCCTCAGGAGGAGAGATCTCAACTCACACAGTGAACTTCCCAAATGGCTCTTGCGACCTGGGAAATGGTCGCAAGGGTCACCAGATGTCACCAGATGTCAAGAGATGTCACCAGGACCTGGATTTTGTTAATTTTGTTGGCATCAATGGCCTGGAGATGTTATGACTGTTATGACTGTTATGACATGTTATGACATGTTACAGTGCTCCCAAGGGGAACTTTGGGTCCACAAAAGCCCCACATGCAGTGGCAGAATTCTGAAGGTGTCGGTGTTGGAGCAGCAGGTGTTCATATACTTTCAGTATCTGTCAGTGACATATATATATATAACTATATATATTATGTAATGTCTCATTATTGTAATTATTCTATACTTCAAGTACCTGGAACCCAAATGACCCCCCCCTTTTGGATGGTTAACCCTGAGTTTTATGGGTCAAAACCTTGAAAACAATGGTCATGGTCATTCGGCTTCCAGGCATATCATCATAATTATAAAATATTATAAATATGTGCAAAAAAATATTGAGGGATTCCATTTGGCTACCATGACCCGAACCCAAAGTCGCTGTTCTATTTGAAACTGGGGCCCAATCCACCCATTTTCACATTTTCAGAACCGTTTCCCCGAAGCCATGAACGACAGAGGCGACGATTCCAAGATGTTTCGAAACTTGGCCGTCCAGCTTTGCAATTCTCGAACCAGAGCGGTCAGCATCATCGAAGCGTTGTCCACCTTAGCAGTTCTAGCAGTTCGAGCAGTTCCAAAATCAGCTGGCTACCGAGAAATTTGATGAAACAACTTTATGGCACACTTGACGGGCTGGGTCACGTGCGGTCTAATTAATCTCAGGTTTGGGGAAGTTCAAGTACCCCGTAAACAGAGTTGTAACAGTCCTGCGTCGCAGAGATTCACGTTTTGGATCCAACTTTCAGCTCAAGCTTGTCGGCAGTCGGATAAACTCCTCCCTTCGGAGGGGATTGAGGGTGGCCCGGGGCGCAAGGAAAAAAAGGGCAGCAAGTCTTGGCCTTCGATGAGATTCATTTCCAACATCATTCCTGCACTTTAGCCGTCTGGCGGGTGTTGGGTCCTTTTCTGAAGCAAAGAAACAACATGAACCAACGTGTTAACCCTGTGAAAAAAATTGTGAGAGTCTGCTGAATCGGAAGCCAATTTCTGCCAGTATCTGCCACGCGTCATGCTGACAGCCAGTCAGCTATCATTAACTTCCACGAGATGCATCTTTACTCTCATGAAATATCTTGGGAAGCTCTGAAACCTATCACAAGGAGAGGTTGGCCAATTCAGCACATGTATTACATTGGTATGAAATTGGTCACTCATCTTAAGCGTCTGCATATTGTCATGATGTATCATGATGTATCATGATGTCCTACCTCATCAAAACAAGGTGAGACAATGTTGCAATATGTTGCAATGAGACGCAATGAAAATAATTAATGAGACTGCTCAGAGTTGCTCAGACTTGCTCAGCACTGCTTGCTGCTCAGGGGTGGTCGTCTCCCTTCTCTCCCTGGTTTTCCTGCGTTCCCGAGGAACCTGCTGAGGGAGAGGCCTCCCGGTCACCGACTTCGACATCTTCGACGTCTTCGACATCAACGATCTGGCGATGAGCCGGGCGAGCCAGTGCACCGCCAATGCCACGAAGCCCAAGCGCACCAAGCGGCTCAAGCGCATCCGGAAAGCGCCGCAGCAGCGAAGCTTTTGGAGGCTCCAACCCCAACGCACTGATGGTCATTGGCATCTTTGCATCCATGACGGCTCAATCAGGAATCTGGGCGACAGCTCTGCGTTGACTTGTTTGGGCATGAAAAAGGCTGCGTTGCGAAAACGGCAAACTCTTCTCACTCTTCTCACACACACCGCTGATCCAGTGAAGAGCAATGGGAAAACAAAAACAGACAAAAACCTGCAGTATTTTTTGCTCAGAGATTCTCTTCTTCAAAATCTTCAAATAAATTGTAAAAATCGATCCGTCGGCCGCGTCTTCCTACCCTTGGCCCTCTGCAGTGGAAGGAACAGCCCTTCTGTTGCCGATGTCATCAGCTAGGCACCAAACCATGGACCATGCCCAGCTGGTGATCACAATCCATCACAGCATATCACGTCGGATGAACCGATGATGTGAGAGGGCGGGTTGAGCTTCAACCAGAATCCCAAAAGGGGTAGATCACGGTAGATCATTTATTGTGTTTGTTTTGCGTGTCTGCATAAATTCAAAAATCAGTGAATTTTGACGGTTCCTCTGCGCTTCGATCGATTTCTATGGCACAAAAACAGAGAAATTCTGGCTGGTTTCAACCGAAAGTCACGCGGAATCTCTTCAGACAAATATCTTCAGACCCATGGTGATCCATCTGCACATGACCACACCAGAATTCTAAGTTTCATTGGAATTCATGATGTTTGGAGCTGAGATGAGCTGAGATGAGCTGAGATTCAAATCAGGCCACGAGATGCAAAATCCCGAAAAATGGAAGCGAACATGAATTCCAGTGGAACGCGTCCGAAAATGTCAGGATTTCAGGATTCATGCTGAGCGATCATGTTTTTACATATTTTTAACATCTTTAAATATCTTATCTTTGCCGCCATAGTGTAACTGTTCCTTATTCTTATATTTCTTCGTATGTGTGTCACAAGCATTACATGCAAGTTACGGAAAAGCATGTGCAGCCTAGGTTCTCTGCTTTTTGATTCCGAACATCTCAGCATGTTCCTTGACAAATTGACAGCAAGTTGCGCAAACTAGTTGCGTCGCCACTTGAAATTTCCTCATCAACTGATCGTGCCGAACACCTTCGGCGTGCTCTGCTTCTATAGTGGCTGGTTGAGAGCGGGGTTTCCACTTCATGGATATCCAATTACAATTATTATAATGACTCTACGTAATGACTTCAATCATCTTCAATCGCCAGTATGATTGTCATATTTTGTACTAACCCCATTTTCATCCATATTCTCCCCCCAAAGTGCACGACTGGTCTCATCCTCTTTTCGCTCAGTCACCGGCCGCCCGCCTCAGGAGGAGAGATCTCAACTCACTCAGTGAACTTCCCAAATGGCTCTTGCGACCTGGGAAATGGTCGCAAGGGTCACCAGATGTCACCAGATGTCAAGAGATGTCACCAGGACCTGGATTTTGTTAATTTTGTTGGCATCAATGGCCTGGAGATGTTATGACTGCTATGACTATGACATGTTACAGTGCTCCCAAGGGGAACTTTGGGTCCACAAAAGCCCCACATGCAGTGGCAGAATTCTGAAGGTGTCGGTGTTGGAGCAGCAGGTGTTCATATACTTTCAGTATCTGTCAGTGACATATATATATATAACTATATATATTATGTAATGTCTCATTATTGTAATTATTCTATACTTCAAGTACCTGGAACCCAAATGACCCCCCCCTTTTGGATGGTTAACCCTGAGTTTTATGGGTCAAAACCTTGAAAACAATGGTCATGGTCATTCGGCTTCCAGGCATATCATCATAATTATAAAATATTAAAAAATATGTGCAAAAAAATATTGAGGGATTCCATTTGGCTACCATGACCCGAACCCAAAGTCGCTGTTCTATTTGAAACTGGGGCCCAATCCACCCATTTTCACATTTTCAGAACCGTTTCCCCGAAGCCATGAACGACAGAGGCGACGATTCCAAGATGTTTCGAAACTTGGCCGTCCAGCTTTGCAATTCTCGAACCAGAGCGGTCAGCATCATCGAAGCGTTGTCCACCTTAGCAGTTCTAGCAGTTCGAGCAGTTCCAAAATCAGCTGGCTACCGAGAAATTTGATGAAACAACTTTATGGCACACTTGACGGGCTGGGTCACGTGCGGTCTAATTAATCTCAGGTTTGGGGAAGTTCAAGTACCCCGTAAACAGAGTTGTAACAGTCCTGCGTCGCAGAGATTCACGTTTTGGATCCAACTTTCAGCTCAAGCTTGTCGGCAGTCGGATAAACTCCTCCCTTCGGAGGGGATTGAGGGTGGCCCGGGGCGCAAGGAAAAAAAGGGCAGCAAGTCTTGGCCTTCGATGAGATTCATTTCCAACATCATTCCTGCACTTTAGCCGTCTGGCGGGTGTTGGGTCCTTTTCTGAAGCAAAGAAACAACATGAACCAACGTGTTAACCCTGTGAAAAAAAATTGTGAGAGTCTGCTGAATCGGAAGCCAATTTCTGCCAGTATCTGCCACGCGTCATGCTGACAGCCAGTCAGCTATCATTAACTTCCACGAGATGCATCTTTACTCTCATGAAATATCTTGGGAAGCTCTGAAACCTATCACAAGGAGAGGTTGGCCAATTCAGCACATGTAACATTGGTATGAAATTGGTCACTCATCTTAAGCGTCTGCATATTGTCATGATGTATCATGATGTATCATGATGTCCTACCTCATCAAAACAAGGTGAGACAATGTTGCAATATGTTGCAATGAGACGCAATGAAAATAATTAATGAGACTGCTCAGAGTTGCTCAGACTTGCTCAGCACTGCTTGCTGCTCAGGGGTGGTCGTCTCCCTTCTCTCCCTGGTTTTCCTGCGTTCCCGAGGAACCTGCTGAGGGAGAGGCCTCCCGGTCACCGACTTCGACATCTTCGACGTCTTCGACATCAACGATCTGGCGATGAGCCGGGCGAGCCAGTGCACCGCCAATGCCACGAAGCCCAAGCGCACCAAGCGGCTCAAGCGCATCCGGAAAGCGCCGCAGCAGCGAAGCTTTTGGAGGCTCCAACCCCAACGCACTGATGGTCATTGGCATCTTTGCATCCATGACGGCTCAATCAGGAATCTGGGCGACAGCTCTGCGTTGACTTGTTTGGGCATGAAAAAGGCTGCGTTGCGAAAACGGCAAACTCTTCTCACTCTTCTCACACACACACCGCTGATCCAGTGAAGAGCAATGGGAAAACAAAAACAAAATGGTCTGTCTACAGGATTTGCCAAATATTCTCGGAGTCAGTTTGTCGTTTCGCAAATCATCACCGACTAGCCACTGGAATATTCACCTTGCCATCTGGTTTGCATCAACCCGGAGATGAGATATAAATTGCCAGAGGTCAGGGCCAGTTGCGAAAAGTCTTCTGCCCATTGCACTGCCTGGCGTCTCATGGCGTCGGCGTCACTGATTTTGACTTCCGGATTCCAACTTCAACACAAGAGATACCAGTAAAATAACAAGCTGCAGGAATTTCCCCCAAACCAGCCTTCCACCGGACGCACCAAACCAATGTGCAACACCAAGTTACATCAAGTCACTTCTCACTTCATACGAGCCCATGGATTTCCATTATGGCCGATGTATGATGGACTTCCTGATTTTGTGGCGTGGTCAACATGAGTCTGTGGGCCCCAAGCCTGCTCGGGCAACACAGCCGCCTGACTCTAGAGCTTTGCAATGCTTTGCATGGCGGTCTCATCAAATTTCATGGTGATATGGTGATATGTCATAGCAACATATTTTTTCACTAGCATCCGAAAGGTATAGCGGGCAACCAAGAAGGTCAATTCCGGGATAGTGCTGCTTTGATGTTTCTAATTGCTACTAACTTGCTGGAATCAACTTGCTGCAATATCCATGTAGTAATTGCTGATGCATTTCTTTACATAACAAAAGCACGTGACATGTATCCACGATATGGACCTTGCTCAAAATTGGGGTATCCATTCTTTTTACCATTGGCTTCCCGAGGAAAAACGAACAGTAACTTGGATGATGTGGGAAAAAAAAAACGTATTACACTCATTCACACCAACAAAAAGCAAGTGAGCAATGCCCCTTAAAAAATGGTACAATCCAATTACACTGACTCATGCTGGCTCGCTTACAGGGTTTCGGACACCATAGCCATGGATGAGATATGAGATTATCATCCCCACATCAATATATCATAAATATATAACATGAAGGATATATATATATAAATTGCCATATATAAAAAATTGCCATATATATATATTGCCATATATATATAATATCATGTAGGATATCCACTGTAGTACAACCATCGCAACCAACGCATTTTTCTGTGGCACCATATCTGGGAACTGCTCAGCCCATCATTGCCTGGGTCTCTTCATCGGCCAAGAGCGGCAAAAAGGTGGCAGGCCTCCACAAAGTTCAGCCAAAAATCATGTAGCAATATGACATACATAATATACATATGATAATGATTATTATCATTACTACAATATATTATATTACAATATAATTATATATTATCTAAATGCAGATTATAATCACAGCTTACAATCACAGAATATAATAATATAATCATGTATCAATGTATGAAAATCTCTGTGTAATCTGTAGAACTATTTCAAGTAGACTAAGTATTCCATGTTGGGATCCTACTGTGAGCCATGCCGGCTATGCCCCTGCCGTCCTGTTTTCGTTGTCAAGCTCCAAGCGGCACAAGGGCTCGTACCTAAATGATCTAAATGTCTCGTCCCAAGGTCCCAGTGATCAGCATATATCAGCATGAAACCCGCAACCTGACTTGGTTTTCGAGCACTCAAGGGGCCCCTGCGGTCAGCGGAGTCTCACGCATATGTCCCTGCATGGCCATGTGTGGGGTCTGACCTGAGATTGGAATGTTCACTCCGGTCAACTCCTGTGCTGTATGCCCACATCTTTCGGCCACTTTGTACAATCGCCTATGGTAGGCAATCTTTACACTTCCTAAACTTGCTACTGTCGCCGGGTGCATGTCCGCAGCCCAGGGCGTGATAGCACGTTCCGTGCCTGGAAATCACTACCTCAGCTGGCGCTTTGGCCAATGCGACCTTGTCCATCAGCTCGCGGTTGGCCTTGTGGTAGCATTCGTTGTCGCGCATCAGCTTGAGGTTGAGCGTCTCCAGCTCGTTGATGCTCATCTTCAGGCCCTCTTTGAGCCGTTTTCCCAGGACATTCAGCTCTTGCGGGTCCACCGGGTTCCGCTGAGCTGCAGCCTTCTCAGCCTGGTGCTCTGCGACCAGGTCCTCATACTTCTTCTTCCATTCCTTCTTCTCGTTCTCCTGCTTGCGGCTTTCACCAAGCTGCGTTTGCCACCTGATCTTCATGTCCTTGAAGTCGGCAATGGCCTTGTTCTTGTCCTGGTCAGCACGCTTCATCTGGCCTTCGACCTCGTGCTTCATCCGGACGGCCTCGTTGTAGAGGTCTGACATCTGTTGGTATTTCTGCTCCTCGTCGTGGTACTTGGTCTCCAGGTCCTTGAACTCTTCGGCCTTCTTGTCGAACCGGTCATGCCACATAGCACAGTCGTGGCGGAAGACGTCCCGGTTCGTGGTCATGTTCTTGAGCATCTCCTTCTCCTCATCGACCTGGCTCTTGTAGAACTCGACGTCGTTGTAGGCTCGCCAAACCTCGTCGTCCTTGGACTGGATCTTCTCCTCGGAGAGCTTGACATAGTCCTCGTGGATCTTCTTGGCTCGCTCGTAGAAAAGCCTTGCCGTCGTTGGAGACATTGGCAAGTCTTCCATTTTCACTTCATCCACATCCATAGCGTCCACCGGGCTCGCCATCTCTTCTGCTTCATCTCCTTCTCGATCTCGTTTCACCGGCGGTGCACGGATCTGCTCCACCTTGGGCACGATCAGATGTGCCGTTGGTGTCTTCTTGAAGAAACCCGAAATGATCTTCTCCACGATGATCGCCAGGACCACGGTCAGGAAGAGCGTGACATAGAGTGCCAGATGTCCTCCGTGATCTCCATCATCCGCATTGTTGCCACCGATAGGTTGTGCGGTGGCTGCTGTTGTCATAGCAGCCATAGTCGAAGCTACCATCAGCTTCTGGGAAGTTGCTCCAGCGATCAAGCCCAGCAGGATTGATGCCGCGGTCGTAGTGACCTTGTTCGGCTTCAGCTCTGCCACCTTCATGACCTCCTCGTCCGTGAGTAGAAGGTCCGACTCCTCTTCGATGGGCAGAGTCGGCAAAGTCCTCGTCTTCACTGGGTGATCCGGCACGTTGTGGAAGTCCACCTTGCCACACGTCAGCAGCCGTAGGAGCTGTGGAGAAACCATGGCTTTGGTGAGAGCGTCCGAGAGCATTGCGGTCGTGGGGACGAGAGTCAAGAGCCGCAAACGTCCAACCAGTCGGCACTCTCGGATTCCCAAGACATACAGCCTCTGAACCTTGTCTTGTGGTAACGTTTTCTGACCTGTTATCAACTGCCACAGGTCATTGCAGTCCATGTAGAAATCACCAGGCAAACTGGGGTTTCCGTTCTCCTGCAAAACAACCAGTTGTTTGAGATCTGGTGCAGGTACATGATGCATCAGTTCACTGATTCTGGTAGTAATGAGAGTTGTGGATTCTATCCCATTGACCATTGAGAGTGTCTCTGCGTGGCTGGTGCTGTAGCTCACCCTTTTCGCCTTGGAACCGTGTGCGTAGAGCACATGCATAATTCCACCGTGTCTTGTGACGGTTTCGTCGGTGAAGACCTCCTCATGCTCGACGGTCTGATGTCGCCATCCATCATCGGCCATCATCACCAGAACTCCTTCTTGAGCATAGTGGCGTCCCTTCGACGACGATGATGCGTCGTGGACGCAGACAATTCTCTGGTTCTCGGTCTCGAAGTACCGGTAGTGCAGTCCAGCATCTGCGAACTGCTTCACCTTCTCAATCACCAAGTTGGCCGTCTTGAGGTCTCTGATCTCTGCCATAGTGACTCGTGCTTGAAGAAGAGAGACATCAGAGATGATGTCCAGCCTTGTAGCTGTGATCCACAGCAAAGCTCCCAATGCCGATCTGAGCTCTGTGATCTCCTCTGCGGAGAGCTTG